ATTAAAATCATGGTCGATGCTGGTGATATGTCAAAGGCCCCCGATCCATATCCAACAATTATTGATTGAAAAAGAAGTAATGTTATCACAACAATCAATTGAAACTGACTTCGACAAAGATCATTACAATGGCCAGCAAAGTTCCGCATGAAAACTTCTTTTCTTACTATCATCATGTCTTGTAATCAAGTATTTTTTATTAGTTGGTGCTAATTTAGACTTTGATATGTTTATAAGTATTTCTACATTCAATTGTTTAATTAAATCATCAGAGTTGAGGACTACTGTTTTTCAAGAATATTTGAATAATAGTAAAGTCAATATACCATCAAAATAGAGAGAGGCATAGTTATAATTAGAGAATCACATTTAAAAAAACATGCTTATTAAAAGTGAATTGGCTTAGTTTTTCTACTAACAAAATAAAAAAAGAGATGATGGCAAAAAATCAACATCTTTGAATTAGTATAAAAATTAGTAACATGAATTACAGATATTTTGCTTCGCATTCTCATAGTAGTCGTAGGATATTAATGAACAAATTATATTTTAAAAAGATAGGTGCATCATTTTTATGATTTTGGATGTGGGTGTCCAGAACGTCAACACCCACACACACACATCCCTTTTATCTCAACTTAAAATAGAATCCTAGTCTGTTGAAATAGAATAATCGAAAGATCGAGCAGAGGCTTAATGTCTCGTTTTCTAGTTACAATCAGCATCGATTTTTTTAAAAGAAATTCGTCACTTGACATCACAGAGAATTAAATTTTATAGAGATAAGAATTTATTTTGCTTTGTCACCACTCCATCGCCTACTCGCTTACTAAATATTTCAGTGTTTCTATATGTAGTTCTTTTTAATAGAATTCATTTTATTACGCTTTTTGAGAAGCATGAAAAAAGGAGCTAGAGCAAATAGAGAAGATAAATGCTGTTCTATCGTAAAATACAGATAAGAAGTCATCAGGAATAAAATAGGCAAACAATGTAGGTAGTAAGAATTTTTCCAATAATAACAACAACACTTTATTTATTTCGAATTCTGGTTCGTGGTGAGTAAAACATTAGGAAGATTGAACCATCTCTCTATTATTCCATTAGACACATGAATAGTAGAATGATGAAAGAAAGAAGAAATTAAAGACTATTTTATGTGAATTTGTGGTCGAACTTGCGATTTTACTTAATGATGTAATTACAACATTTTGCCCCTTATTCAGTAACTATTTTTATACGTCAATCAGTCATGTTCAACACGCTATGAACAAACTCAAAATTTCATTTCCTTTTCTATGAAAACTAATGAGACATCATAGTTCTAGTTTTCACTAAACCAAATTAGGATGAACTCATTCTGAATCCGATAAACTGTCTCTATTGAATGAAAACTAAAGCTTCCATATTTTTTTATGAATAGAAAGTTTTAGCCAGCAGTTGTAAATTCTTGTCGGGTCGGCACTAATGTTATACATTACAAAATGTTAGCTCGAAATCAATCCTACTGATGATGTGGCTATTTCAATGGCATAGAATAAAAACAAACTTTAAGTTTACTCTATGTTCATAAAGTTTCGTCACCTAATAAAGATGAGAACATTTCAGCAACAGAGCAATGTATCGGCTATATGAAGTGACTCCAATGTAGGGCTCATCTCATATAGAAGTGGACGAAAAACGGTAGAGATAAAGTTTTAGATTAGTTCATACAGGGTGTCTTTTGATCATAGGTGTGTGGAAAATCTATCGTCCAGCACATATAAGGTTAGGAGTTTATACTACAATTTTTTTGTCGCATGAACACAAGGTAAAATGAGTAGAGAAAATTCTTGAAGTATAGATTAGTGAATATAAGTTTTTGAAGTAAATGGAGTGATAATAAAATTTTAATGGATTTGTGAATCTTTTTTTACATGAAAGCAACACACAGGAAGCTTTTTCATCGTTGAAATTATGAAAAACAATGAATACACATTATTCTTACGAACATATTCTAACTTAAAAATACGTGTTGAAGTGAATATTCAAAAACAATAGAAAATATGAACACTATAATATTGAATTGATATTATATAACTTCCTTGCATTTCGTAGAAACTTTGCATCTATAATATATACACTATATATTTACTTCTTTTCATATATTTCTGTCTTTCCTTGTGAGCGCGAGTCAAGGGAGGAAAAGCGAACATCTGTACTTCTCGTACTTCTTGGCACTTCACTGTACTTCTGTTAACTTCAACCTTAGATTAAGATTTTTGTTTTTATTTTACTTGAAACTTTATATTATGATATTTATTTTTTTCCGGCGATTAAAATTAAAGTGTGAATGACACGCATAAAATCAAGTTCTGTAGAGTAAAGGACAAAATAAAGTCAAAACGAATATAACATATAGCAAGCGAAAAGAACTGAAAATATCCCAGGTCATTATCGATCAGTCGATTCTTGTCGGACGGGTTATGATTCCGATGTAATATGGTGACCGGATTCAGTCGATTAATTTCTGGCGAATTCCGATGATTTTCTTTGTTTTCTTATGAAATCTGGTTACTGGATTCTTCGAGACCCGGCCAGATTTACATTGCCGGAAAATATCAGGTCAGATAATCCGGTGAGTAGGACCGTTCCGTTCTGATATGATCCGATTGGTTCCGATGATACTGATTAAGCCGGATCTATCATGAAATCGAGCGTCATGCGGCACGGCGGATTACGGTAAAGTTTCGTTACCGGATATTGTTGGATCACGTCGTATACGATCCAATCGAATTAGATTTTGTGTTTAAAAAAATATAATATTTAAATTCAGTCAAAAGGGAATTAATCCGTTTGAAACTATCAAATATCAATCACAAATGACAGCAATCCGGTCCCAAGAGTAGTATTGGAGCGAAAACGCTTCACACTACTACGAGTTTTAGTTTGAATACAGTTTTATTAGAAAGAGCACATTCAATTACGTATTTGGGAAGAAAATCTTTCTGGTAAACCTCGAAAAGCTACACTTCATAAAATAGAGAATAGCATTATTTCTAGCTACATGAGTCAATTGGGACGGTATTTAGCATTTATCGATAAAACAAAATTTGAATATCTAAGCCGTTCTTATATACTCTGATAGACAAAAACATTCTGTATCGAAGTGGCCTATTTTCAAACAGTATAAATCGAATATTCATGGACCTTGGAGCCAATAGCTGTTTTTAAGTCTTCCCCCAAAAGTGCTTCAGATCTTTCTTAGTATCCAATGAATTTTAAAATCTAAGATGAAATTTGTGATCAGGGAACTTAACTTTATCGAAATATAACTACTTGCACTAAAATCTGAACAAAACGTTTTTTCGATCCTTGAGGGGTACCCCAGATGTTAAAAATTGAGTTTTCATAAAATACACAATAAATTCGTGGAAAATAATCAGAATTCAATGATGATTCTCAAGCTAATAAAATTAGATGCAGGTTTTCAGTGAATTCAGGTTTCTAATTTGGCACACTTCTGTTTTTATTGTGGAATTAGTGTATTCACCACGATCGAGGGAAAACAATGAGTTTAACAGAGAATTATGTCGTCCTGTTGTATACTTCTCCTTTATTTTGCTGTTCCTTTTCCACAACTACTAACATCTTTAGCATGTTTCAGCATCTTTAGGACCTGTTCAACGCCTTCGGCACTTTACAGTAAAATTTGGTGCTTGGAATCAGCACTTTCCCCCTTGCAATAAACAGTCATTTTGTCAGAAGAACGTAGCATTCAACGACGTTGGAACTCATAAATGAAGCTTACCCACCATAGTTGATTTCGAATACTATATTTTAGTAAATAGCTTATCAAAACAACTCCTAAAACTAGAAAGAATAGTTCGAAGGAATCAACAGAGTTAATGATGACATGAGCAAACATAAAGAATACAACAATACTGATATCACACCCACATCCTTTTTTTCTTACACGGTATCATAAACGCTAAGAAATTTAAAAACAGAAATAACTATTTCAAATTCATTTTAGATTAATTCAAACGTTGCAATATTCAGCAGCACTATGGCTAGTGCTATTTCATCAAATGATGATTTTTATACAACAGGTGAAGACATGTGCCTTGAAATATTCTATCTTATCTGGCTAGATGCTAACGCAAATGGTAAAGAGACTAGAGATACAGAGCAAAAATTACGGTCTATTATTAATAATCTAAAGAAGTTTCAAGATGTTAAACAATGCCAAAAATATATTGAGGAACGATCAAAAAACGATCGATTGGTTATGATTGTTAGTGATCAATTTGGACGAGAAATAGTCTACTCTATTCATAAACTTCGACAAGTTATATCGATTTACGTTTATTGTTTTGATAAAGTGGGTAACAAACAATGGTTCGATAAATTTGCAAAAGTAAACTTATTGTAGAAGATTTCAATTTCATTTTATGATTCTCTGTTCGCAGGTAAAAGCAGTTGTCACTGAATTGGGTGAACTAATCACTCGAATTAAAGCGGATCATAAAATTCAGAAAATCGTAGAAGAGCCTTTGTCTATTAATATTTTTACGACCGGTGGCACTTCAACAACAGGTGTAAATGGTCAGTTTGTTTTTTCACAGATTCTAATTGATTGTCTTCTGTGACTGAAACCTACTAAAGCAGATAAAAAAGAACTGATTGATCGTTGTAAACAACTGTATCAAGACAATCAATATGAATTGAGCAAAATCCATGATTTTCGACAAGAATACTTACCTGAAAAAGCCTTATGGTGGTATACTCGTCAGTCATTCTTTTACAAGACTCTTAATGCAGCTCTACGTAAACAAAATATCCATTTCATTTTTTTATTTCGTGGGTTTATTTCTGATATTCATCGTCAATTGAAAGCTAATCAAGCGGATGATACTTTGCGAGCGTATCGAGGTCAGATGATATCCAGTGATGAATTGGAGACTTTGAGACAAAGTTGTGATCAATTTATTTCAATCAATTCATTTTTTTCCACAAGTACTGATAAAAAACAAGCTCTGTCGTTTCTAAACAGTTGTAATGTTGGAGACAACGTAGAACCAATCTTGTTTGAAATTGATGCCAATCCTGCGTTAGTCACTAGCAAACCATTTGCTGATGTCAGTCCTTACAGTGAATTTATTGACGAATCCGAGGTTCTCTTTATGATTGGTTCGATTTTTCGCTTGAAAACGGTGAAGCGCAGCAGTGATGGTCAAGTATGGGTTGTTCGAATGACTCTATGTAGTGATGATGAACATGATTTAAAACAAGTCATAATCGATATGAAAGATCATTTTTTGAGTCGCGAAATAAATCTTCAAACGTTAGCAAAACTATTATGGGAGATGGGTAAACCTGATTTGGCTGAAAAATATTTTATTCGCTTGTTAGAACAACTACCACTACAAGATCCTTTACTTGGCGATTTGTATCATGATCTTGGAAGACTCGCATCACATGTCGGTAACTTGGACAAGAGTATGGAATGGCATAAAAAAGCTAGTGCGTTGAAAAAACAAAACCAATCAAGTACCACTGTTGGTAAGTTTATTTGAATATAAACCTATTGTCTCGAAACAAATCATATACTTAAAAAGAAATATGCTTTTTTCAAAACTGAAATTCTAAAAATTCCCAGTACATGCCATTCTCCGTTTTTTAATACTGCTCACTGGCAGTATTTGCTTCTAAGACTGAATTATTTTAGAATACATATCATTTTGTGTGGTAGAGTAGAAATATTGTTTCGTGTTATTTATCATTATGTTTTCCTATAATTTACTGGAAACACGAAGAAAAAAAAATTGAGCTTTAGGATGTTTCATTCGTTTCTGGTTTTTTAGGCAAATCGTTATCTCTTCGTTTTCCACTTAAATTGTTCATAGAAAATTATGAAAGAAGGTATTTAATAAAAATTGAAGTATATCGACTCTTTTCGAATTCAGTTCGATCCCTATGAAACAATCTATGATTAGAAAGAATTGTCTTTTTCTATTAGCAATCTCATTGATATTAATTAGGAAATTAGGAAATATAAAAAGTAAATGGCAACCTATTCTATAGTTCTTCTCTGATGTCCTTATAATCGACCTGAGTTTTGATTTGCTGTTGACTCTTACTTGTTAAATATTCGCATTGAATTTTAATGTTTTCATCATTATGTAGCAAATGACGCTCATTGATAAGATGGCAATTATAATGGCTTGCTTTGTTCTCTTATGTTTTAATTTTTCGCTCTTCGTATCAAGATCCAATAAGCGCATACAACCATAGAGACTATAATATAGTAACTTGAAAAGCAATGTGAACTCTTATTATTTCGTATTCGTCAGTTTGATTATAAAATTTTCTGAATTAAACATATAGTTTTAAGTTATACAGAGTTTCTTTGTCACTAAATTGGCAATACGAAAAAAAAACAGAATACATAAATGAGACAAAATCGATTTTGTTTTGTTTGTTGGATATCAGATTAAATTATGTTTTCT